CCACAGACAAATGACCTTGAAAATCACAAAAATGGTTATGATTCAGTCAGCTTTGCATATACTGTGCTAAATTTTGGTGTGGTTGTAGTTGGGAATAATTTACAACACATACTTAAAACGCTGCTCACCGTGTAAGATCTTTGTTTAAAGCTTTAGCATTAAATATTGGATTCTGCCATGTTCGTCTGTTAGCAAAACATCTCATGAACCAGTACATTGATTTTAATGAAACATTCAGAAAGTTATCCTTGAATGGATGTCTGCAACTGGTTAACTTCTGCAGCCAGTTCACTTTAAATTGGCTGCCACAGCTAATTGAAATCAGCAGACACATGCACGGCTATAACTCAGTCATCTTTTCTAATATTAAGCCAAAATTTGATGTGATGGTAGTTGAGAGTTATTTGCAACAAACGTTTTGCTTTTATGACAAGATATCGCACAAAATCTTATTTTAAAGTCATTTGTAGACATTCAATGATCCTAATCTAAAACTGCCATGAAAAGTGACATTTGTTCAAAAAATGCCAGGCCGTTAATTATTGTGCAGCGTCTGCTGAGTATTCAGCTCAAAAAACACTCGTGTAACACACTTGACTTCTGAATCACAATAAAAGATCTGAGGTATTTTAATCCCGTTCAGAGAAAATTACATGCAAGTTAGTGAATTTAAGTGCTCCGCTTGTACTTTAAAGATCCAAACGACCTCGTCGTGAGAGGTTTACTCGTTGTTGCCATTGATTTTTCATTAGCTCGGCCCGCAGGAGGCTGAAGCTATCACTTGGATCACACCTGTCGTGTTCAATTAATAGCCTCTTCAACATGGTCCAGCTTTTTTCTAGCTGTGCACATGCCCTTCCTTAACCTTTTCTTGGTTAGCTTTCTTTTAGCTATGGTGCCGGCTGCTGCACAAGCCTCCTTGTGTTTATTGCAGTTTCAGGGTGTGGAGCAAGTTCTAGAGTAAATTCTTTGTTTCAAACGCACCTTTTTTAAAACATCCTTTGTGTTTCTAGATAAGACAATTAAAACAAGCCCCTCCCACACGCGACTTCCACCGTCTGAAAAACTATGAGGCCATTTTCTTGCAGCCGTTAGACCAAGCCTCGCAGCTCAGCACCACCTCATCACCTCGTTCACTTGTCATATTCTACAACAGGAAAAGGGCTTACAGGATCATTTTGCAGCCCCTTCTCCTCATTTGCCCAGTAACACACACTCACACAGACATGCATGTGCAAAGGCGACCCTATTAAAGTAGCTGTAAGGGCTGAACAACGTGATGACAGTCAGATTGGCTGGACTGGAGGTGTTGAAAAGCCTCATGTTAACATACAGGAGTGTTGATTAGTGTGTGGTGTGAAGGGCCATACCTGCCTGCTTGTCCAAGTTGTGTTTTTGTGTGCATCAGCATAAAAAAAGAAACATTCAGCTGACCTCACGGTTTTTTTTCTGCTCACTGTTGTCTTTTAAAGCTAAAAACTGACATTATCAATATTTCATTTACCTCTCCCGTTCCTGTGGGGGTTCTGTCAGTGTTAGTGTCTCGAGCTAAACCAACAACAAGACTTATGGAGGACTGACTGGTGGCAGGATGTCCGTCACAGTCAATTATGTGAAATGGGATGCTGAGTGTCCACAGCTCCCGGAAGCTGCCAGACGACACAGAGAAACCTCTGTCTTAAAAAAAAAAAAAATCCAGAAATCTGCTGTAACATCTTGTACTGGGTGAATCTATTTCACCATATCAAAGTTCACGCTCAATAATCCAGATTAAAAAAAATCCAACAACGTTAAGTCAGGTCATCCGAACGGTTTCTTTTTTTTTTTTTGTTGAGACGTTTCGTCATTCATCCAAAGGGCTTCATAAAGCCGAGGATCCACAAATAAACGCAGCCCTACAAGCAGCACACCCACATAGTGGACCAACCAGTTTGCTGGTGGTAAGACGGTTTCTGGGGCCCGCCCTCTCCCCCGTCGACTCCTCGACTCGGAGGCAGCCATGTCCAAAGTGGTTCAAAACATCTATTGTGCCGTACTTTACATTAGTTATCCTATGCAACATTTAGCTTTTGCCTACCATCTGCCTAATTTGAGCTTTTAGCTGGCATTTTGCTCCTTTTCACTTTTTGTTAGCCTGTTGATACTTTTTACTTTTAGCCCTTTTTTTGTTGGTTATATTTAGCTTAGAACTAGCCTTTTGTAACAGTTAGTTTTTATATATTTATACTACATTTAGCTATTTTGCTGCTTTTGGCTTTTATCTAGAGGTTTGCTTCTTTTATTGATCAGTTTCATTGCTTTCGTTACTTTCAGCTTTTAGCTTTAACAACTTTTAGATTTAGTAAGACATTTGCTACTTTTAGCTTGTGTCCGTTAGCTTTTGGCTAGTGTTCGGCTTTTTATTTTATTTTTATTTTTTAGCTCTAACAACTTAGTTTCATCTTCAGCAAATTTCAAGAGTCCTTCAGTCTGCATTCACACTGCGTTTACCAACTAGACATCAGAATCTCTTTAAGTCATTTAATCTTATTTCTAAATATTTAATTTCTCATGCTGTTATCTATTAGTTTGAGTAGATCTTGGACGCTCTCTAATTCTGCATAAGAGATGCAGTTTTTCAGTCTGAATAGAGTAAATCCTAACGGTTGAATCCACCCTTAGGGGATGAAAGGTTGCTTGTTGACAGATCCTGATGAAAGGAGCGTGGTGTTACAGGATCTGCTGCTACAATGAGCAGAGCAGAGATAAGCATCATTGTTCTGCTCCACACTGTAGCAGCTGTAAAGAGGCTGATGTAGTGATAGTAGATCCAGCTATCCTGACATGCCTGGCCAAAGAGCCACATTATGAAACACTGGATTTATTGACATCACAGTTCATTGTAAGCATGTTGTCAAGGTGTGGAAGAATGTCCAAGAAGGAAATATTGAAAGGAAATGGAGGAATTGGTTTGTAAATAACAAAGACCGGATTGCTATTTGTTTTTCAACGAGAAGCTAAGCAGTTTCCTGTCAGTTTGATGATCATTTTATTGGTCCACGTGGTGATGGATAAGGTTATTGTGTAAAGTACTTTGTTCTTCTTTTCAAGTGAAAGCTTAGACTTAAAGGACAAGAAATGGTTCTGATAAGTGAGGTCACAAGAAAGCAGATTCCTGAAGGAAATCCGTGTCAAGTGAAAGCGGATTTAAAACTGAAATTCGTTCTAGTTGTGAACACCACAAAAGTGAAATACTGTAAAGCCAAATGGTGCAATGTTCACTTACAGTATGAAAAACAGTCCATAAGTTTGTGCTTCCTCATTCGATGATCAGCTCTTGGAATTATTTCCTTCATCTTAAAAAATGGAAACGTGGCACCATGATTGTGTATGGGGGAAGAGGAGGAGCTTAAATCCCCACATTTCTAGTGCACAGACTCTGGTTCCAAAAAGACAACATGGGTCAGGTGAGCAAGCAACAAGACGAGGACAAACAACAGGAGGAGATGGAGACTCTTCATTCATCTTGTATGGATTTGGATGAAAGTGACCCAAGATGGTATGAATACAAGCATGTGAATGTTAGCAAGATCCAACATTGGATCACTGGATTGGATTCATCCATGCTATACTTTGGATGATTTATTTCTGAAATTTATTTTAGGTCATCATGTGGGCCTGTTGACTAACACAGAAAAGTTGTTTTTACATAAAATGCACCATTTTACCACATCTGCAAGATGCTCCCTTCCTCGGGGGTCATTGATACTTACAAACAATTAACTCAATGCATAAGCAACTTAGGTCCACCCAGGTCAGCAGGGGCCCCCATGAGCGCTTCACTACAATTCACGTTATTTATTCAGTTTATTAAATAGCATCAAGTCACAACAGAAGTCATCTCAGGGCACCGAACAGAAACATTCACACACACACAGACACACACACATGTATATATATATATATATATATATGTATA